ATGGAGTTCCAGGAGCCAAGGCAACCGCGCAAGCACCTTTCAAGAGTCACTGCTGAGTACACTCAACTTCTGTATCACATCGAGAAGGCAAGAGAAGAAAATTGCGCTTTTGTGGATGAAATACGATGGGTTTGTTATGACCGTTCTTTCGTAGTGCCCTTCTGACAGAAGTGTTTCTTTGATTGACCCGGTTAGCGCATTGACCGCATACAATCAACTCTCACGTCCGACCTTGACCATCTTTTCTCTGCGATCCTGGGCTCCCTGACGGACATCAAGGCAGGAAAAGTTTCAGACCTCGAACGAGCCAAACTATATGTTGATTTGACTGAGTGCCTAAGGATTTACGACTCACTGCGCCTTTGGAGAGTTGCTGAAGAGATCATGCGGAGAGACGTAATGCAAAGCTTCATCAAGAAAGTATGGTATACGTCTTAGCCTCCTCAGAAGAAGAAAGTTGCTCAATTTTGCATCTAGACTATCTTTCCTGATGCACTGGCTACCCCACTCTCACCAATGTTACCACACACCCCTCTTCCCGCACTCTCTACCCGAACGGAGTCTTCTGGAAGCGGGTTTGCCCCGTACACCATATACGCCATTCACCTGCATTTGCCACCAAACAAAATCCCTTTGAGGCTTCGCATGTATCTGGACCGGTACACTTACTGGACGAATCTAACGATGCGCTTGCAAAATTGTACAATCAGATCCTTCGCTTCATTGAGCGAGATTTTGGGCGCATCATGGAGGTTGCGGAACGAGTTTCCCTTAAGGCGGATTCGACCAAATCGCATTCAAGTATATCACTGGGGGACTATCATCTGGGAGACACACAACAGGCGTCTGCGGATGGCTTCGAGATTATGACCAATGTAGTGTGGGCAGAAATCGGTAGGGCAATAATGGATGAACTTGGTACTGTTGTATTCGCCGGGAAACCCAAACGAATTTCGCAGGTAAATTCTATAGGAACTCGTTCTGTGATTTCTTTAACATCGAACCTCGGTTATAGCATCATTCTACAACCCAGGCTTTCATTCGATCTCTCGAGTTCTTGGCTCCTTCCACGCATTTCTGTGCAAAACATGCGTTCCCACCCAGTTTCCACTACTTTTCAACGACTTGCAGCTCTCTGTATATTTCCAACTGCGGTGGAAAGAAGTTGTCATGAAGCTCGAAGAAACTTTGTCCTCAAGAATTCTGGATCCTGAAGCACCAAACTTTACTCCCGGTGAGTTATCATTGACTTGATTTCAGTATATGTCATTGGCTCACCTTTCTCAAGGGCGTGGATGTATTTGTAACGGCACAGGCCGCTGACGTTTTCATTGCAATTGCTTCGTGCTGGAGTGCCGAAGGCTACATTCCCGACCTTGCGCATCGCTTTTGGAAATTTACTCTTCAGGTACTTCCTCTGTCATTGGTTGTCAGGCGTCGAGGTGAACGCTTTTCTAGCTCCTAAGCAGGTATCGGGAATGGCTGGAAAGCTCATTGCCGCCTGCGGGAGGGTCTCCAGTGAAACTTGCCGCTAACATTACGAATGAAAAGGTATGTGTTTTGATGGAAGTCAAAGCATTCGTTCACCTTTTCATAGATTTCAGCAATTGTCAACCATCCGAGATCTTCAACACCCGGGCCTACTCCAGAAGCGACCACTATTGAAAACACGGCTGCAGATGAGATCTTACTAAGACAGTTTGCAACTGCTCTCGTTGATATTCGGGCGATGATAAACCAAGTCTTGCATTTGTGGAGAGAAGAGATTAGCATGATGCTTCCCGACACGTCAACGGAAGACAATGCGGAGGAGGTGCTCGAAGGTTAGCTTAAATGACCTCCGTCTTCAAGCTGCTCAAATCATCATCTGCAGTCGCTCTGAGGACCCAGCTCGGGCAGCTCAGCGCTCTTTCTACATCATTGTGCAGCCAGGCTACAACCATATTATCCAGGCGGTGTTGCGATTCTCTGTTGCCCGTTCGGTCTATTCCTTCGCAGTTCAGAGCAATGTCCAACAAACGTTTGCCCTCCGAAGCAAGTTACTTCGTACCCACCATCCTTCGTCCGGTAAAGAGCTTCTTCGGAATCAGCACTGGCGGCGGTCCTGGGGGACGCCTCAAGGAGGAAATGTTGAGGGATGTCTCGACTGATGTAGTGGAAAGTGTCTGCCAGCGGTCCGTGTGTTCTTCCAACGTGATGAACATGATTTTGACTTGGGTGTTTAAGGTACATACAGTACTTGACTGCGATGAAGAAGACCGAGGAATCCCTACGACGGCTGAAGAAAGGGAAAAAGTCGACATTATCTATCTTCGGATCCACTGCTGGAAAAGATGACGGAAAGGATGAGGAACGCATCCGTGCGCAGATGATACTCGACGTCGAAGCGTTCAAGACAGAAGGCGAGGCCCTAGGAGTTGATTTGCAATCCATGGACAGTTTCATAGTCCTGGATCAGATGGTCCGAGCCGAGCTGGCTGATGGTGATCTCTAACCCTTTATGTTGTCGAGGCGGTAATTTCAACTATTATTAAGTAAGTACGAAACGTGCCATTAGGATTCCGAAGTTAAGCATTTGAGATGGTATATAGTCCCTGTCCGTGAAAGTCTAACCTGAACGCTCTCGACGTCTGCCTGGGAAGGAAGTAGAGTCCGACCGCAGATGAACATACACCGCAAGACGAGGTCCAGCCACGCATTTTCTCCTTTGCATATAGCTCTACGGAATCGAATACATCCCGGTCAATGAGATGGTTTTGAGATGATTAACATGTCTCCATCGGTTCGGTACGATTCCAAACATGCCAGTCAAAAATTGCACGGAACTCCGTATATGGGGTGCCCGTAGTGCCGGAGTGCACAGTAGGATCTACCAAGCGCTGAACAGTCGAGGGAAGGAAACCGCCTGGGTCGAGCTCACAGAAACCAAAGACGCAAACGTCTCTTGGACGATAGCCCGCAAAGTCGACAGCACCTCACTCTCAAGCCCCTGCGTCACTACCTTGACCAGTGGAACAGCAGGTCGAGAGGGTTTGCACAGTATGAATCTGGCTGCTCAGAAGCTGATACCAAATGTCCTCGAGAGGAACTTCTGCAGGAGAAGACAAGCTAGAATGCTCCATGCATACTGATATCCCGCGCCGTCCGATGGTTTGCAGATCGTTCAAGCATTTGTAAACGGAATCCGTGGAACCAGGAGCTGGCGAGGCCAGCGTGCGTGCGAGATCTAGCGTGAGCTGCTTCTCAAACACATCCGCTTTTGAGAGGGCTTCCCGTGGCTGTCCCCTGTAATTCACGGCCCATATGACAGCATCATACGCTCCTGCCTCCTCGCATATACTCAACGCCGTCGACCAGTCAATGCCGTCCTGCAAGCGTTTAAGGACATCAATGACAGCAGAGGGCGCAAAACCACACTGCAAGCGGATAAAGCGGTGGCGAAGTCGGCTGTTGAGATGACTCGGGGAACTGGGAGTGGAAGAATACTGGTCATATTCACTGTCGAAGACCAGGTGGTTGAGGTAGATGAACTGGTCACGATCGTTCGACAACGGCGGGCTCTCAAGGGCAGTCTCGTGAAGCTGAGGAACATGCTTGTCTAGAAGAGCCGCAGTTGCAAGAATATCGGCTTGTAACAGTTCATCGAGTGAGGTGGTAAGAATATCAATGACATTGCTAGGGACCTGCTTTTTGTTATCTCTTGCCGAGCTGGTAATGACTTCCTGGAAACCGCTGAATATTTCTGAAGGGCGGAGTTCGGGATCGTGAAGGAACGCAGTGAGGAGGGGACCCCAGTGCCGCTCGTGGCGGTACCAACTACGTAAGATGCGATAAAATCCGGCATCCTCAAAGAGCCGAAGAAGTCGGTCTCCGTCGTGGGGGGTGTAAACTGACAGGAGATACTCTGCCGCGAGCTGACGGTCCTCTCGCGTTTCCACTTCAGGTTGAGTGGCAAGCGCAGTAAGGATGTTATGAAGGACACTGGGTGCGACTTGAATGAACTGGGGATATTTCGGGACGTTCCGTGCAATGAAGATGTTGATAAACGTGACATCGGATGGTGAGAGATCTTCACTGGACATGATATCCAGTAGAATCTTGACTATCATCAACCGACTCATGTCATGAGAGGATTCGTTGAGATATGAATCCTCAAAAGCTATGTCCAAGCAATGCAGGAACGATTCAGCATCAAAGCGGAGCAAGAGTCGAGTATAAGGATATGTTGGCTCCACACCGCTTTCTTCTTGGGACGTCAAAACCAGACTTCCTCCTTCAACGGGCCAGACAGTGGAATGTCCGCAAAAGACGAACGAGTATGCATCTCTTTTAGCGAGCAAAGCTTCAGCTGCCTCCAGAGGCTCCTGACTGGGGTAGATTTGCCCGCACAGCACGGTCGCCAAGTAAGAGTAGATCTTATAGGCGTTCTTGATGACGGTGTCCGTAGGCGTTGGGTTCTGTTGTAGGCTGCGGATGATGCCAAGAAATTCGACTATGGGAGAGACATAATCTCGCAGGGCACGAGTGTACACATAAACCAACGCATCCCATAGCTGATGTGTTCGGCAGAGATTGATGGCTTGATTGATGTCCAAGCAGGATGGCTCAATGTGCCAGATAATTCTTTCCGCAAGATCTGGACGTCCGTTTTCATCATGTAGCGCCACGAGTCGCTGTGTGATGCGAGGAGGCACTAAGGGAATGCTGCCATCCAATACAAAGGGTTCAAGTTGGTGGAGGAACATCCGGTAGATGCCAGCGTTTTCGTACTGCTGGAACAACTCCTCAAATAAGAAGTCGAAGTCATTCAGAGCAATACAAGCACGGGCACATGTTGCTACCAGATCTTCAAAGAGCGAGGTGCGATCGACGCCCCGTCCATCAAGTGACGCATGCGTGCCATCTGTCATACGGTCTTCAGAAAACGCATAGCGGGAGGATGCCACCATGAGGTCGTGAATTTTATCAGCGATTACGATCTGCCGTTCTTCTGGGTCCTCAGGAAGACCATTGCGATTGCCAGGAGCTTCGCCCGTATAGTACGTGCGGGTAAGTTCAATGGCACTGAGAAAATTGCCCTGCTCGACAAAGGACAGGATCCTGTCAGCCCAGCTAAGTAAGGTACCAACAAATAGTTCCTGTCGACCCTGAAAAGGGTCAGTTCTTGCTTGGCTTCCATATGCGAAAGTCTCACCAGAAGAAAAAGTTTTCCTTTGTAGGTCCGGATACTGTGTGCGATGTCTCTCACAGACTCGGAGTATGACATCGAACCATTACCCGTGTAGCCCAGCGAGGGAGATACCAGAGAGGAAGAGTCAAATTGGACTGCTTCAACCATCTTTACGCCATGTACATCATAAACACTCAAGGCGCTCGCCGTAAAGACGGCCAATTGCTGTCGAAAAAGCATATAAGGACTGATACACAACTCCATTGGGACGAACTCACATTAACATTGAGCCATTGGATGGCAAGAACAATATCATCCATCGTCCACTGTCCTGCCTCTTCGAACACTAACGTGCCAACTTCCACTTCGCTTGTTTTCCCTGTGCGGCTGTTTGACACGGTCTGTTTGGTCTTTTGTTCATATACGCGTAGTAGATATACATGACTCCCCCACGAGTACGAGAGCACAGGATGAGTTGGCGGGCGTCCGGGTTGTTTCCCACTCCTTGGGTTCTTCGTGTTCACTGTTTTGTCCGATTTCTCCGTTGAACTATCTTGGACGCTGGGGAACCACGCAAGACACCCTCTCCTTCGATACCCGGGGGACGAGAGTTGCCCCTCATCTCGCATAAGCTTCAGCCACGTCTTCGGATTAGGCTTCAGGCCAACAATGACGAGTTTTGTGGGTGTCAGCAAGGCAACGATCTGATATGCATCGGTGGGATGTGGAAGAGGACCCAGGGGAAGAGTGCTCATTGCAAGGACTGTGTTGCGGGGTCGTCTTCTGCGGCGAAAGGAAGGGCGACTGAGTGCGTTCTGTTGGGATGATGGGTCGGCAGGATGACCAGAGATACTAACTTCGGGAGCATCTTCTCCATGATAATTCCCGAAAATGCGAATTGTGTCTGATGCCTCCACAAACAGGACTTTACCAAGACTATGGTAAAAAGATAGACCGTACTCATCAGCAGAGACCACAGCTGTATGACGGCCAGCCACGAAGGAGACGTTGATGATACGGGAGTTTGGAATATGTCCTTCCTGTCGACCGGATGTGACAGCAGCAAGAGTGGCAGGTGTCACAGTCCGAGCTGCGACCTCAGGGTTCTTCAAGTCAAAAAGTTGAATGTAGCCAGTAGTATGCCCAGATGCGACAAACGTATGGTCGTTCGATAGAGCGATCGCAGAGATGGGCCCAACTGTTGATGCTGCATGGGGTTGGTCAAATGATGAATGAAAGTTGAACAGGTTTAAAGCTACCAGACGAGTCGTTGCCACATATGCACTTCAATGTTTGCTTAAAGTCAAAAACGAATATGCGGCCCTTATCTGTCCCAACACAGATAAACCCGTTAGCAGTGAGGACCATGGGAGCTCCCGTGAGAGGAGCACCGAGGACAGTTGATGCTTTTGAAGGTTTCTGGTCGTAGAAATGAGACCCTGCGCTCCCGAGTGACGACCACCGAAACACTTCTCTCTCATGGCCTATCAGAAGTCCTTTATGACCCGCAGATGGAGACGATGCCCGCGAGATTTCAGAAAAATGAGATGGAGATGGAGAGAAGCTATTTATAGGTTGCGCATGAGGTGAACCAGCGCTGAGAGCAGGGGAGCCTCTTGGCGTAAACGAGCGAAGTCGGGAGACATTTGGATGTAGGAATGGCTTGGGGAATAGTGCGAAGGGCCCGTTCGGCACAGGTGATCCTACTCTGCTAGGTGGCAAAGAACACATAACTAAGGCAGCAGATGCTGAAGCGCTGACGTCCAGCTGGATATCGACATGCTGTACACGTGCGTGAGTACATGTTTATGCCATGAGGTGTGCCAAAACTTACTGGCACATCGCGAGGCGGCTCATTGGAAACGCTATTGCTTTCCTGCAAAAGAGCCCGTACCACTTCCTGTTCCTCGGATTCATCATATGAGTCCTCGGGCCCGAGAACGTCTCGCAGCTGGTCTCGATAGTTGTCGCCTGTGACTTGGTCGGCGTCTACACCGTCGTAGACGAACCCGCCATCATTTTCGTCTGCCTCTGTATCACCATGTTCATCCTCATCGCTGAGTAACTCCTCCATTCGCGTGGAGTAGTCTCCTCCCTGGTCATCTTCTGCTTCCTCTTCATTGCCGGAAAATGTCGGCGACTGTTCAATGTCGAGGGCATGCGGAGAAAAGTCCTCATCGCTGACCGAATGAGAGGCTGATGACATCGACACCTAATGTTTGATGGTTGCGGACGTGCGCAGTAGTGCGTGCAAGCAGCAATATACTGTTCTCCGTTCCGAATCAGGTAATTCACTAAATTGGCATCACGTGCACGTGTATGGTAAAATCTTTGTTTTCACAAGTTTATTGCAATTTACAAATATAATGAAACTCACCTAAAAAGAAAAAAGTTTCAAACGAGTGTGGCTGAGTAGTACTCTAAGTAGTACCCGACGCGCGTTACACAACAACATTCAACTGAGTATATGCGCGACTATGAGTCAACTCGGGTCCGACGATGATACTCGCGACGACGCTAGAGTCCATGGCAATGGTTTCAATGAAAATGGTATGTTTTTATCGCAGTACTGAACAGTGAACACCAGGGACCTTATGTTGTCATTATAGAACCTTTGGAGAGCGCATATAACAATGGCAAGGGTATCGCAGTCTCCGTGACATTTACCCCACTTCTACCACCTCCAGCAACTGGAGAAAAACGCCGCAAGAATGCTAAATCACCACCCATAAACCGTGCCTTCTTCATCCACGAAGATTCAACCCTCCGCGACCTTCTCGATACAACATTCGAACACTATGACGTCTCTGAGAAAATGATGTACGGTATTGGGAATCGATCAGGTCTTCTCTCGGCTACCAACTTCACGATCACGTACACAATCCTTCGCACGAACTATAAGAATATTGTTCTCGCAAACCTCAGTGATTTCGACACAATCATGGAGGAAGTCAAAGAACACCGGTCACCAGCCTTCAAATTGACTATCATCAAGACCAAGGTATGTATTTTGGGTGTTTGTATGTGATTTGCAGTAAGCTAAATACATGGTAGTATGATGATGGCGAAGAAGCTGAAGAAGATGAAGAAGCTGAAGCTGAACCTGCGGGTAAGAGGGTGGGATATATGTGTTTCGATTGTCTTCTTGTCACTCATGTTGCGAAGGCTGCAACAGGTCCAACTGATGAGGAGATAGAGCAAAACGAGGCAATTGCAAATCTGACTCGTCAGTATACCTGCGAAGACCGAGCATGTGGTTTCCGTATCTGCTGGCCAGCTCCACCAGACGCCAAACACGTCAACCTGACACCATTACATCTCAACACGTGGGCTGCTGCGATGGTCTGCGTGATGTTCTGAAGTATGTAATCTGCATGTGTCACTAACAGGGTTATTACACAATAGGTTGGTCCGAACAAGCAGCCAGGTGTCGACTTAGACAATCTGCCAAACACGAAGATTTTCGATGTTACATACGCAGACCTGACTGATATTGCTACTCTCTCACGTCGACGTCTCAATACAGTTACCCAAACCCAATCCTCCGCACCAAGTATTGTCATCAACAATGACTTCAAGGATATTGTGGGCCTCCTGCATGGCAAACGTGGACCCGATCACGCTGCCAACATCCCACAGCCTGCTGCTCTTCGTCTGAAGTTGAGTTTGATTGATTTTTGTGAACGCTTCAACCTATCGCTATGGCTACGTGAGAAGTTGGACAACATTGACATGACAGGCCCACACTGTCTTCGGTTCCTTCAGAATGCTGACTTGCTTGGTGCTGGACTGTCTCTTGGTGAGCTTGCAGATATTTGTGATGCCGAGGAACGGTGGATGCTTGATGCTTAGTTTGTATGGCTCCGAGCTTTCAAAGTGTATTTTTCTGCTGCAGTATTCACAGACACCCATTCATAATATTATGCTACTGTATTGTAACAATGCTATGGTCAAGCAAGATAACCCGAGTGACGAAAGAAGCCCCAAGTCATCTCGGGTGTTATGACAGAACATGCAGTGTACAGCTCATAGTAAGGAGCCTTAGGCCCATAGAACCCTAACCCTTGGCGACGGAGATGTGACTTGATTGCGGAGAATGCTTGCTCAATAGGATTGAGATCCGGGGAATATGGTGGTAAGTATTCAATGCGGCACCCTGACAAAATAGTGAGACAACTCCGTATCACAAGCTTTATTATACTGACCATAAGCATGAACAAGCTCTTCGATTTCCTCCACATGGTGAATACGAGCATTGTCCATAACCAACACACTCCGTGGCCCTGGAAATGGAGTCGTGATAGGAAGCTAATAATAACAGGTTACTGATACATCACAACGACACTGACAGTTTGAAAATGAACCACATCATTTTGCAAAAAATCGATGAAAGTCTTGCGATTGAATGATCCTTCAACAACTTTTGCAGCAATGATGCCCTCATCGAGAGCCAATCCTGCTACCATTGAAAACCGACGTTTCCGAACAAATGGTTGATGCTGCTCAGCACGTGCACCTCGCGGAGCACGTCCCCAGCGACGTGAGTATGTACGGTCATCTTTTGAAACTTCATCCAAACAGAGTAATGAAGCTGGCGAGTATTGCGAGACACAACGAACGAAGTCTGCGCGACATAGAGAGTCACGTTCAGCTGCAATCTTCTCAATGTGCTTGAGATTGATGCCAGCATGCTCAAAAGATCGGTGAATGGTGGATAGTGATGTCTGTAGAAACCGGCCATCCTGAAGTCTCAGCTGGTATTCATCGAGGAATAGGGTGGGGTTATGGCGAGCAAGCCGAATGAGGAACTGGATATCATGCTGGGTGAAAGTACGAGGCCTGCCCCTGCCAATTGCCTGAATTTTGGCTACACTGCCAGTGGCTCGTTTACGACGTTGTGTGCGGTAGATGGTTGACTTTGAGATCTGTGTGATGGAGAGGATTTCTTTGGTTGCATATCCTTTGTTCGCCATTCGCAATGCAGCATCTTTGAGGTCGTCGCTGATCCGTCTATTGCCCATCGTGGAGAAGAGTAATGTGTGACTCACGAGATGCTGGCTGAGGCTGTACGCTGCTGTATGCCACACGCAACAGGTGACCAATTCCGAAAATATATATTTTTACACATTCGAAGAGTGTCATTGTTTATGAAAATCGCAATAATCGGACAAACTGTTATGGTTCTCTTTTCCCCTATCTCGTCTGCTTACTAAACCTTCCATGACATTCTATATCATTCTATCGTATGATTCTCTATCTCTTTTCTCATTCACTGTTGTATCATTGTACGACTTTCTTTTCTTTTCTTTACTTTAAAGCTCCACTTTAATCCCTCTATTTAAACCCTTGTCTCATACTTGTACTCTTTAACTTGACCTACACAGACCAGGGCCTGCAATCCACTGCTTTAC